AATCAATAACTGATTAAATTTACATCCTAATTCCTAGAGGAGACGACCTAACTCATCTTGTCTACATTTATTTTGGTGAATCAACATTTAATCATTAATCTATATCTATATTTTGATTGAGTAGATTGAGTAGATTGAGTCCTAACAACACCTCCAATTTAGTCAATCAATAGTGCACCGTTCTGGATGTTCGTCTCACGCTGAGCCGATCACTCGAATTGGCCTGAGCTGAGCCGTGCACCTGAACCGGTGCGCACGGTGTACGAACTGTTGTGTGACGGTTCCTCTCCTGTTTGGCATGCATAGAAAAATGGTACGGCCGTTTCGCGCGATAAATCGGCAGCCAACGCTTGAAATGCCGCATGATGGTTCCTCTCCCCGTCTAGCATGCATCAAAAATAGTGTGGCCGTTTCACGCGGTAGACGGCGCACGAACCGTCAGATGAAGGGAGAAGCCTGTCGAGCCACATTGGGCTCGGTCCAAAGCGGGGAGTGGGATACCGGGTCGTTCTAGTGCCTTAGAGCTTAGAATGGTTGAACCAAACTGGCCTCTCATTTGAAAAATGGAGCTGCAGCGGGTGCCCCTCTCCTTGATTCCCTCCACATCCCCCTACCAATTTCTGGAAGGGCCGGAAACCATCCTTCAGCAAGACGAAGAGGAGGAACCGAATGGGTTAGGGGAGTGCAGAAGCTGCCGCAGCCTTCTGCCTTTGGCACAACATTTCAGAATCCTCTGGCATCGTCTTGTGCCTCTCTTTGCCTTCTGCAGCCCTCTAGCATCTTGACATCTGGAAGTGCCATCCACCGCTCTCTAGCCTTCCGTCCAACAACGTAAAGGGGAAAGAGGAATGGCAAGGCCCCTCTTGCAATTTCCAAATGGAAATCTTCCTTCAAGAAAAGAGAGGAAGAGAGGTGTGTAGGAACCACCACTTCTCCTCCTCTGTAGGGAAAGAAGAAGAGTCAACAAACCTCTGTAGTTAATAATTAATTAATAATATAGTTTTAGCCTTAATTTATGAGAAATAAATTTATATTTATGTTAAATTATAAAATATAATTTTTAATTGGTTAATGTGACTGTTTGCTTAATTATGTGATTTTATATAATTTTATAATCTTATTTTTGAGATAAATAAAATAAGATAAAACGATAGAAAAAGAGGAGAGCTCACTCGCCAATTGAGACCACAAGAGGGTCGAAAGTACAATCAAGTGAAGTTATGAGTGGGGGCTCAAGTGGCAAGGATGAATCGATAATAGACACATGCACATTACTCTCCTTCTATGTCATCGGTGCAAAGAGTGGTCGTACATATGCAAGAAAGGACTTATTACTGAACAAATCTTGTATTACTATATATTCATCTCAAAATTCAGCATATAACTAATGTGGGACTAAATTAGTAGTCACAGCTTCTTCGGAATGTTTTAATAATTTTTGAATCTCAAATTTTATTTGTTTATCTAAAAGAGGTATCTTAATGATGTCACTTTATAAGGGTATTTGTATACTTATTTCACTCTTTTTCATGCAAGCACGTGACCAACAAGGGTTTAAATTTACCAGAGTTAAAATTTATATTTTTATCTAATTAAATTATAATTTTTTCACAGATGTCTAGTAAATGATTAAGCTACTAAAATCATTCAATTATTGGTGAAAATTTTGTCAATGTGATTCACGGAGCATCATTATTAAAATTACTAAATGATTTTAGATAAAAAGGTCATAAATTTATCAAGTAAATCATCTCTGATTGATCAATGAATAAGTTGTTATCAGAAAGAAAATAATTCGTCGAGAGACGAGTCGCTACCTCATAAGAACATACTAGATGTGATGAAGAGCCTCTTATTACTGTGCAGACATAAGGATGAAGCTCCCTAAGACATGTCCCACTTATATTCAGCTCATCTCAATCGGATGACAATTATCGGAGAGTTGTAAAGTTATTATTTTTTTGCTTCATCAGGTGACAACTACTAGAGATGATTCGACGACCTACTTCATTGATTTCTAGAGTTCACAAAAAGATCTAGAGATTATCCAAATCGTTATTATTCAAAAAAAACTTTTGATGCCATAGACGTTGCACGACAATCCTTCCAAATGCTCAGCATTATGATGCATTGTCAACACATCACCGCCACAATGTTAGAATTCTATTTTACTATTTTTTAACTAGTTTAACTTCTACTATTATTTTCTAGACTTTGAAATGAAATCTAGTGAATACCAAACTCGTTCATATCTAAGGAGAACCTTTGAGGCCATGAACATCATTTGATGATCTTGCTAAACATACAAAATTTCGGCAATCACTATCGTTAGGTCGGAGCTCTATCTTTCTTATTTTCAACTTAATTTTTACTTAATTTAATGACACTTTGTGTGATTCAAAAATCAAAAATCTTTTTCATTCAAATACGATTCCTCTAGCTTTTACATATCTTAATTTGACTAATTAAATCATTTGTAATCTCTTACTTAAGAATTACTAGATAAAAGTTTATTTTCGTTTGAATCATATTTCTTAAGGCGTTAATGTCATTCTGACATCCACACCCTTATTTCTCTTTTTTGTGAATTTTTAAATATATTTTATATTTATCATTTACTCTAAAAATTAAAAAAATCATATTATTTTTAAAAAATTAAATATTACTCAATATTATCTTACATTTTTGTGATCAATATGGAAATTATACACTATTTTTTAAACCTTTTATAGAATTATAATTAATTTATTTGTTCCAAAATATTTCTAAAAATCTAAAAAATAGTATTTTCTAGTTTTATAAGTTTAAATTTTGTGTGATTTATTATACAACAACTAAGTCACATCAACAGCTCATTAGTTTGTTTATGGTAAAGTTGAAACCTTATCAAGTATGAGGCATAAAAAATGATATCAAGATTAATAAAAAAGTATGAGCAACATGTCATTATCTAAAAACTGAACACATTTGACTTTGATATCATTTATTGAATCTGAAAAAGCTAGTGTTGAGATAAATAGAGAATGAAAAATATAATGAGAATAGATTAAAGTTATACCTCAATCTATAAAGGCACAAGTATGAGGATGACCTTTTGGATCAACATAGGGGAGTGGTCTAATAACTTACTCAAAAGAGATGAGATATTCTAAGAGTGACTCACGATGTGTGACCCAAGGACCATGACCCCTTATTTACAGACAAGAGATGGTTAGCCTTTTAGTGCCTTTTTTTAATTTAACTCATCATAAAATTGGAATAAGACTTAGTCTATACACATTTATATTTATATTCATACTTACAAGAGAGGTTATAATTCTAAATACTTAAACTCTAATGAATCAATTTAAGTTGAATTAACTTAATGATAACCCTATAATATACAATTCATATATATCCTTGTCCACATTAAGATTAATTCTAATAGAGCAAAGATGTCTCTAATTGATTAGTGTTCTCTCTCCTCTTTCCACTCTCCATAGAACCAAGGTTGAATGCCGGCCGGTGCAGGTGACAGAGAGGACATCGTGGAAGGCGGGGATGCTCCCCTTGGTGCTGTTGACCTTCTACAACCACGTGCGGCCTCAAGGGTGGTGATGGCACATATTGGGGCTTAGTTGTGGGCCTGACAGTGCCACCCAGGTGGACAAGGAGAGGGCTGCCATCATCCACCACGACGTTGGCATGAAGCCGTGGCTTGAGGTCGCCGTCCCCAAGTATCGAGGCTAAAGGGCCTGGTTCTTTGACTATGGCCACCCCCTTCTGTCTCAGGGCAACATTCACGAGTAGCCAATATCGATTGGTCAACCCTCGTGTAAATAGACACCCCCCTTCCCATTATAGTCGAAGAGTCCAAGCAGGCCGATTTTTACTGAAGAATAAGAATATTCCACGACGTTCCCTCCGCACGAGATTAACACGTTGGATGACGAGGTGATTAGCCCAACGAACGCGGTGACTGGTCGAGCTTGTCCACGTGGGTCCTTGATTCCCCCCTCTCCAGCAGAAGCTCCACGTCAAGTTCAGTCCGAAACACTAACCCCTCAATTTCAGTGAGCAATAACTCCAAGAATAGTTAAAAGTGAGTAGAGTACAACCGAGTAATTATTTCCATATAGAGAATGGTCAAATGCGTTAGGGTGCGTGGTTGCATATTTCTTCCGAGTTAAGATTATAAAAGAATAAAAATACTTTTACGCTGGTTTCGAGCATATACACCACCCCAATTAAATACGTATAAAAATCTCGTGAAATCATATCCATAGATAAAAAAATCGCCATAATACTACCCGATGTGATTTCGGTAGGATCCCTGCCCTTCCGCTTTCGAGGATGGATCGAGATTGGATCTGGGTTTAAGAACAGACCAATTTGGATCGACGATGCGGAACATTCTATATAAAATTATGCATCGGAGAAAGAGAGAATAATAAAGAAAAGAAGACAATGAAATAAAGAAAGAGAAATATAAGAGGACCTGTCCTTGCTACGACCGATTCGAGATGATCAATCTCCACCATCCACTCGCGGCGGGTAAACCGATATCTTCCCCCGCTGTCATGTGTCGGCCAACCTTTATAATGCTGACCGACCCACGATCGTATGCCCACTTCTGCCGCGTCCGTCCATCTTCATGTTCTTCTGTAGGCTTCTGTCGGTTTCCGGAGATACGTGAGGACCACCCTATCCGTTAGATTCATTTCCGACGAGGGTGAGAGGGTCCCGTGCGTACTTCATCCGACGCCACTTGTGTGTCCAACAGATTATTGGTCCAAAATCTAATCTTTTAAGTGGGTGGGTTTGAAAAACATGGGAATAAACGAGGAAATATCGGTCATCCATGCATGCATGTATAACAATAGTAGATCTAAGATTTAAGTAGATAATTCGGCAGCCGTCAAGCCCAGAAGCAAGCAACATCGGTCAACTCTATCATCACAGAAGAGTTTTTATTGATCGAAAGGAAATGTGCATACGAGAGGAGGCACCGGCAGATGGTCTCAGGATGAGAGCTCTATGCGGATCCCTCCGATCTTGATCTTCCCCTTGCCCTTGCGGGGGATGAGGGTGACGAGGACCTCGTCGTCGTCGTCCAGCTTGAGGTCCTCCAGCAGGTCGGTGATCCCCAGCCGCAGGGTGGTCGTCACCGGTTCCATCTTCTTCTTCTTGTCGTGGTTTCTCCCGTGCGGCACGTTGATGAAGCTGCCGGCGAACTCGCTGTCGTCGGGCTTGACTTCGCCGGCGTCGGTGTCGTCGACGTAGACGTCGAACTTCAAGCGGTTTTTGGGGTTGAATTCGATCCCCTCCACCACGAGGGTCTCCTCCTCCTTGTCCTTGTCGGTTTGGCTCCGTGAGACCTTGGGCCGCTTCACCGTGATGCAGGCCACCGACGACAGCGTCAGCGGGAAAGTCACTGCCCCCCCCGCGGATTTGAGCAGCTTCGCCCTCCTCTTCTTCCTCGACGGGGGCGACGAGGAGGTGGAAGACGACTCCGATGTGGGGGTGGCCCGAGGCGTGGCACGCTTTTTAATCCACGGGATGTCTACTTCCTGGTAAGTGAACCCCAGTTTCTCGGGTTCGAGGCAGTCCCTCACCTTCACCCTTACCAGGCGGGCGTCCTCGTCGTAGAAGAGGAAGGACGTATCCAGCCAGTCCCGGTCGGTGAAGTCGACGTTCCTCGGGCTCAGCTTCTTCCACACCTGCCACATCCGGTCGACGTTGGCGTGGTGGGCGTAGAAGATGGGATCCCTACCGGCGGCGTAGAAGGTGCCCATGTCCTCGCCATCGGGCTGGGAAGGGTCGCCCACCCAGATGTGGATGGAGCTGTGGGGCGAGTTCTCCATGGACCCGGCCCCGGGTTTGAGATTACCGCCGGCGCGGTAGGGCAAGCCCATGAACAAAGGGGTGGTCTTTGCGTTGGAGACCATTTGCCTGTACATGAGGGACAGGTTGCGTTCGATCTGCTTCTGCCTTGTGGGGGCATCGCCGTCGTCGAGGTCCATGTCGAGCACCTCCGGTGGCTGGTGGGCGGGGTTGCGGAGCGGGTCGTAGAGGGAAGAGCTGGGGTCGGTGTAGATCCGCGGCAGGATCATGCCGTCGGGGGCGTCCCAGTTCCAGAAAGGCAGGGCGAAGCTGTCATCGCCGATGAGCTTGCCGAGGATCCTCTCGTGGAAGTGGAGGTACAAGCGGTGGAAGGGGAAGAAGAGCCAGGACTCGTGGACCTGCAGCTCCAGTCCGGGGAACCCCACCTGGTCGTAGGCGCCGTCGCAGTAAGCGCAGTGCACGTTGGCCTGCTGGACGAAGCTCCGCGGGTCGTCCGCCGGCAGCGCCCTCATCAGCTCCACCGCCTTCTTGTACTTGGCCAGGTAGGCCTCGTCCACCTTGTGCGCCGGCCGCCGCACCCTCAGCTTTCCTGTCGGGGTGAACTTGTAGTCTAGGATGGTGGCGCTGTAGGGGGGGCAGCAGTTGTTGCCGGAGCTGGTCCCCGACGTCTGGCACTCGGACAGGTTCGGGGCCTGGATGGGCAGCGCGAGGGCGTCCCCCCGCCGGCCGACCCCCAGGCCACCAGCGGCGCACATCCCACCCAGCCCCAGCAGCACCTCCCGCCGGTCGACCCTCTCCGACGGTCCGCTCTCGCAGGAGATCACCGCCGGGCGACCGGCTCTGAGCCTTCTGGGGGCCGTGGCCTGACTACGCCGGCATCTCTGGAAGGGGCACGCAGGGGAGGCCGGGGAGGAGAGGGTTGTGGATATCAGCTGGGACATTCCCACCATTGTGGTGACGACCAGGGTTGGCGGAGGAAGATGGTCGGTAGGCCTGATGCATCATCACTTCTCCCCGGAGCTCAAGTATATATACAGAGTTGAAGGCCATAACGCGTCTCCGCGTCGGAACTTATTTCTTTGGTTTTGACAAAGCGGTAGGAAAGCTTGAAACTTAGAGAGAGGCTTCCTAAATTTTAACTGGTTATCATACCTACTGAATTTGTTTTTTAGTTTTGACTTTGTCCACCGGATATTCGCTGCTAATGGTAGTTTCTAAATTGATGTACATTTAACTAATTATTTTCAGTGGCACATCGTCCTAAATAAAATCTAACGACGTATTAGACTAATAAATTCGTATGGCGTTTGAAATCCAAAAATCAGATGGCAAGTGAGTTCCTATTTTGACTCACGTGTTTCATCGTCATGGAACCGACATCTAACATGTGGTCGGCAGCCCGGTCAAGACAGCGTGTCGCCGCATCCGTCTCTTTTGGTCCCCCCTTCGTGGATAAGAACACGTGTTTGATGCCGAAGATCCGGTGCTTTTAATAGCACTTTAAAGAAAATTTTTATCCTCAATTGATATATAGCTAAAACAAAAGCAGTCACAAACTGTAGAATGGAACAAACAAAATTGCTTTGCTCCATTTCCTGATGAGGGAATTTTGTATAATACCCAATTCTGCTGGAGGACAAGATTGTAGATACACTGCTAGTAACATTAACTGAATGATTCACTTATTATCTTCCCCACTACGTTAGGAGTTTATGATTTCATTATGAGATGGTTAGTCATAAATAATATAAACGTTAAGGACATGTTTGCCTATTCCGATATCATTATACAATAACTTCTACATTATTTATCCTTCCTAGCATTGATAAGGAACATGGAGATTTATTAACCTAATGGATTCTTGATAGACTTGCAAGTCCAAGGCTAATAATTTCTCAACAACATTAGGATTCTTACCCTGAGGCGGTTCACCTAGTTGGAGTTGATCTCATGGTTCTTAAGAGGTTAGAATGGTTGAAGCGCAGGACATTAAATCAACTTGCGTTGTATCAATGGCTTAGCATATGAAGAACTCAATCTTGATTTCATGAGCCTATGAGGTTTTAGAACAAACAATAGCCAGGAAACTAAGAAACCTATATTGTTTCACAAGTTAGTCTCTTGTCCCTAGAGAGTGAGGTAATAGAAGGCCAACACACCAAGAATTATCCATGGTGCAGAATCATCTTACGAAGAGGAAAACCATGATGTCGAGTGTGCTCGTAACTCTGGTCTTGAAGTATTAGTTGACTTGGTCAACTTATCGTGCAAAGTCCTCTCGGACTTGTCTTTCTCTTGCATTTTTATTTTAGGGACTAGTCGGTGGTATGAAGGTCCCATCCATTTTACCTACAAGGCATTAAAAAAGGGGGTTGGGGTAAGATATAATTTTGAGACATGAAGATAGAAAACCCTTTTATCTCTAGTGGCGAACATTGGGAGTTCCATGCCTCCCCCTCTGTGGCTTGGCTGTGAGTCTTTATTCTTTTCCAAAGTTGTATCTTGTTTTCTCTTTAATAGTGAAATCTCTATTCTCCTTTTGGAGGACGTAAGAAGGTGTATTAGCCTCTCCATTCAACATTAAATCCGTGTACCATTTTTCTCACCTCTTCTTCTTAGATCTCTATTACTTGGTAGATTGTGTACCTTCTTTGACATCTTCTTAGATATCTTCCGTTGCCACACTAGTGCTCAGATTCGAATCATTTCCCAACATGTGGTGAGCAGGAGCAGCCGCTCAAGTTGTTTACAATCCAGCGGCAACTAGTGGCTAGGAATAGGGAGACACATCACTTTTAGCAGCCACAAAGTGGCAGCAACTATGGCTCCAATCTTGAGAAGCCCTAACCGAGGAAATAAAAGGGGATGATGAAATGATTGACTTTCCAAATAAGCCTCTTATATGCATATGCGTAAGTCTCCCAATCAAGCATGGAACCGCCATGCTTAATATTATTATTTAAATAATTTCTAATTATTATACTCTTTAAATATCTGTAAAATAAACTTAGCGCAACGTGGGTCAACGATGAATCACGAGAAGAAGAAGACAACCGCCATGCCAAGACGACGACATCGACCTGATCGTCCGTCAGGGTGTACAGATATACGCTCCGCTTTCCGAAAGAGGACGAAAGCGGTGCGCGTGCCAATGAGACGCCGTGGGTGAATAGAGGTGCCATCTCCGTCTGCCCCCTGCCCTATATCTTGGGTGTTTCCACATGGACGGCGGTGGGAACGCTTGAACACAGGAGCATGGAGAGACGCTTCCTGAATTGTATCTTTTGTTTTGAGTTTAGCCACCGGATGATCGCTGCGAATTATATTTTCTCAAATTGGGACGACAATGGTTTTTGGAGAATGTGCCCGCTAGTGACCGGAGATGTCGGTCAGTGGAGGTATATTTACCCGATAAACTTCGGTAGTACAATCCTAGAGAAAATCTTAGGAGGTATATATACCAAATAAATTCACATGGTGTTTTAGATCCAAAAGTCAGATGGCTACCAAGTTGCTATTTTGACTCACGTGTCTCTGCATGCCACGGACATGTATCATGTAGAACCGACGACATATATATCCGTATAAATAGTGGATCGCTGAGAAGGTAATTGCCGCCAAATCAGCATGACGGTGCTGTCTTTGACGCATGCGCATTAATTTAATTTAATAATATATTTCAAGTTGAAACCGTTCAAAAGTATTTAAATAATAGTTATTATTCAATGCGCCATAAAGTTTGGAGGTCCATCCACTTCATTTTTCTTGAGGGTAGTTCATATGCTCGAGATGAAAATGTTTCTTTTAAATGCTATAAAAGCTCCCCATCATTGTGGCAAGAAAATTATTTAAATAATAATTATTAGTCCTTGCGCCATAAAGTTTGGAGGGCCATCTATTTTATTTTTTTGGGGGCAGCTGACAGCCTCGAGGTAAAAAACTCTCTTTTAAATGCTATAAAAGCTCCGCATCTTTAGGTCCGGTCACGTGGGCTTTTATCCCGGAAGGGGAGAGAGTGACACACACACAGCCAAACACAGAGAGACAGACAAACACAGAGCGAGAGAGAGAGATAGAGAAGAGTCGGACAGCGGAGCGTATACCTGTACACCCTGACGGACGATAAGGTCGATGTCGTCGTCTTGGCACGCCGGTTCTATCTTCTTCTCGTTATTCAGCATTGGCCCACGTGCGCTAAGTTTATTTTACAGATATTTAAAGAGTATAACCATTAAAAAAATATTTAGATAATAATATCAATTTTGACTCATATTTAAGCGTCAATGGGACAAAAAGTTTGGAGGGCCACACGTTTTGTGAACATTGGAGGACGGCTCGTAGACTTGAATTCTCTTCAATATGAATGATCATGTGGTGGGATCGGTACATACCCCTCATACGACTTACCTCTTCCACTGTCATGTGAACAATCACTCCCCACTCCACCACCATTGTCATGTGGTAGGTACGTATGGATAAGTCTGGATCTCATGAAGTATAATCGGTAGCACGCTTCATATGGGTCCACCTGAGGTCTATTTTATTGTCTTTTCTCCAATATCAAGACGACTTTAGTTTGAAAAGAGATGAGCCGTTCAAGAATCGAGTTGAAGAAGGCAGTGACGAGTCGGAGCTGCAACGAGGTGAGGTGATGGCAAGGCGAGACTCAACCTGTTGAAATAGCTGCGAGACGAGTCAGCAGCTTCTATGGGTGGTGGTGAGATGAGTCCGCGGCCAGATGGGGCGGCGGCGAGACCAGATGAGGCAGAAGGAGCGGTGACGAAACGAAACGAGGCCAGAGGCGTCGAGGAGTAACTCCAGAGAGCGACGGCGCGGTCCAGGAAGAAGGTAAAATAAAAAGAACCTTTTTAATCTGGAGTTCACGCTCGATAGGGTTAAGTTTAGGCTTGATATTACAATAAATGTGTATACATCTAAAATTGTAAATATACCCTCTAACAGATTTTGACTAGGATCGGAGGTTTACTAACAGTTGGCACTAGCAATCTATGAACAAAATAAGACGAAAATATTATATTTTTCATCATATTTTGTGAAAGTCCAAACTAAAGTCAAAGATTGTTATTTCTTCAATTTTCCGGATTTTTTACATAATTTATCAACGTGAGTCATTGACTTCTTCTATTTTGTTCGCTCTCACAACTAAGAATTGTACACACCACGTTTTCTAAACATTTATAAGGTTATTGGAATAATGAGATGGATATTACTTTTTTTCTCCTATTTAATATCGTTCCAAGAGTTATTACTGCCAACCAATTCAGGAATAATTAGAGATCAATAATTAAATGGCCGGTTATGCCGGCCAATGGACGTATGTTTATCTGATAAATCTCGACGGTACACAAATAAGATCTTACGACGTATATACACCAAATAAATTCGTATTTGTTTAAATCCAAACGTCAGATGGGCCTCCTCTCTCTCTCTCTCTCTCTCTCTCGTTCTCGCTCCGCATGTTTTTGTCTGTCTCTCTGTCTCTTTCTCTCTCTCTCTCTGTCTCTCTCTCGCTCCACGTGTTTTTGTTCCGTCTCTGTCATTGGCTCTGTCTCTCTCTCTCTCTCCCCCCTTCGTGATAAAAACACGTGTCTGGCCTCCCCAAAGATGCTGATCTTTTATAGCAATTAGAAGAACGATTTTCACTCCGAGCATATGAACTACCCTAAAGAAAAAGAAAGTGGACGGCCCTCCAAACTTTATGGCCCATTGAATAGTAATAATTATTTAAATATTATTGAATAATTTCAATCTTTAAATATATTATAAAATGAATCTAACGCACATGCGTCAACGACGGCACCCACATGCTGAGTTGGCGACAATGACCTTCTCAGCGGTCAACTATTTATATGGATATACATGTCGTCGGTTCTACATGATACATGTCGGTGGTATGCAGAGACACGTGAGTCAAAATAGGAACTTGGTA